TTATTCTCTCCTCTAGGTCAGAAGGTTGTGGGTTCGAGCCCCACATTGGGAGTTTGAACTCACGATTTAAGCCCAAAAACTCCAGTTCAGGAATCCGCTGCATTGTCGGAAGTGCCGTCCTTCAGATGAGATGTTAAACCGAGGTCCTGTCCGCCCATTCGTGTGGATGTTAAAGATCCCACGGCATTATTGATAAAGGGAAGGGAGTTTCTCTCTCTCGATGCCCTGGCCAATCAATCCCCCGCATAAAATAAATCATTCACTTCCTGGCTGTTTGTGGGTCCTTGTTGTGCTCAAATTGGCTCTCACATTCACTTACAAAATACAAAGTCTCTGCACTTCATAGTGAATCCTGTAAAGCACTTTGAAACGTCCTCCTGACATGAAAAGCCAGGAGGAAGAGAAGAGTTAATAATATAATAATCCTTGCTTTTGTTATAGCACCTTATCACGTCGTTGAGATATCTACAAGCTCTTCACAGAATAAATTGTAAAGTGAATTGACTGAATACTTTGTGAGCGAAAGAGTTAAGTTAAGCCTGATACACTCGACTTAATATATTTCCCCAGATTGCCTCTCTTCCCAATGTATTTGCAAAAATATTTTAAATCTATTTGATCTTTCGTTCAAAATCCCCAAAAGAAGAGATAGAAGTCGGTGTGAAGTGTTGACCTTGACTTGGGACCTTGCTGTGTGCAAATTAGCCCCTGTATTTGTTTACGAATTATAGTCACTTCACTTGACATCGATTCCCTGCGAAGCGCTTAGAGATATTTCGGCATAAAAGGCTGTGGATCAAATGCAACGATTATTTATTAAAGCTGTCTCGCCTCTCCGCACTGTGTCTATTAATGTCTTTTTTTAAACAGCTTGCAACAGCTCCTTTTTTATGCCGAAAGATGACATAACCCCTTTAAGATAGGAAACTTCTCTGATTAAAATGTCAAAGATGTCTGAAAGCTTCCCGCATCGAGATTTTTTTCTCCTACCAATCAATCTGTTCTCTTGCGTCTCCGAGTAGCAGATGAAAGGGCAGACAGGCTCCACGGTCAATTTCCAAGCCTGAGGAGTAATTGCAGAAATTTGGTGAACTTATAAGCAGAATCCATTCTCTTTACATCAACCGTGCAGAGTTTTGGCTCATTAATAATAATTCGGTCATTCAATTTACGACTGTTTGTGGGACACTGCTGTGAGCAATTGGCTGCCGCATTTCGCCCACAAAATATTCAGTCAATTCACTTTACAGTGTATTCTGCGAAGCGCTTTGAGACGTCTTGAAGACATAAGGCTCTATATCAAATGCAATGATTGTTACTATTATTTGATATAGCCCCTTATCACATCTCAAAGAGCTTCAGCAGTGTCCCACAAACAGTCGTGGATTGAAGCGACAAATTTATTATTATTATTCTTTATTTTGAAGGAATTATTACGCCCAGAAAAGCGATCCGCCAATCGACTAATAACCAGGTTCCTACTGACTGCTAGGTGAACAGAGGCGTGTGGGGTAAGGAAACCTGCCCAACATTTCGTCCTGCCGGGAATGTAACCCAGGTCTCTCGCTTGCGAGTGCTCTAACCCACTGAGCTACAGGCCTTCACGAAGGATGAAAGGTTATTATTATTGAACTGAGCTATTAATAATGATAATCGGTAATAATCTCTGATTCCCACCAGATCAATTTCAAGGTCCACACCATCACTTATAGATCCATCCACATCTGCTTATATCCCCAATCTTTCTTCCCCCCCCCCATACACGGATAGACACACACTCAAAGAAAAAACAAGGCTTCCAGCATTCAGATGTTGTGCAGATTGATCGACCGGTTCTGGAGGATCTGAAAGCCAGAGCTCAGCTCCAGTGAAAGTCTTGTTGATCTGTGACTGTTAGTGCTTTAGCAATGTTTCAAATTGGCACCTGAGGATATTTCCATATCCTTCACGCTCCCTCCCCCCACCCCCCCACCAACGCAACACACACACTATCACACTCTCCTCCCCCCACACACAACACTCACTCTCACACTACCGCCCCCCCCCCCACCACCACCCGCCTGCAACAACAAGATTACATTTGTATTGCGCCTTTCACGTTCGGAGGACATCCCAAGGCGCTGAATAATAATCCTTGCATTTGATACAGCGCTTTTCACATCTTCTCGACATCTCAAAGCGCTTCACAGAATAGACTAAAGTGAATTGATTGTATATTTGTGGGCGAATGCGGCAGCCAATTGCACACAGCAGTCGTAGATTGAAAATGACCAATTTATTATTGTTTTTTGTTTTGGAGGGATTATTATTAGGTGCGTAGAGGAAGGAAACTTGCCCAAGGTTTCGCCCTCTGCCTGGAATCGAACCCGGGTCTCTCACTTGCCACTGAGCTACAGGACTCCACACAAGGATGGAAGGTGCAAATAACTGAACATGAAACATTTAACCCTCTTCGAGTGTTGCCAAATACACACTGATCCTTACATTGGTTTTTATTCTGTATGTAGTTGAGATCAGAGTAATTTGTTATTATTGTGATTCTTTCCAAACATTGTGTAATGAAACTGATCACTGCTGTGTTCTCTCTCACTCTCTGCGTCGCTTTCTCTCTCTGTCTCTTTCTCACTGTCTCTCTATTTCTCTGTGTGTCTCTGTCTCTCTCTATTTCTCTCTGTCTCTTTCTCTCTATCTATCTCTTATCTGTCTGCCTCTATCTGTCTCTATCTCTCTCTGTCTGTCCTGTGGGCATCTGTCCTGTGTGTGTGTCCCCTGCTGTGTGTGTCTGTCTGTGTGTGTGTCTCAGTTGCTGTGTGTGTCTGTCTGTGTGTGTGTGTCTCAGTTGCTGTGTGTGTCTCAG